CTTATTTAAATCAATTCTATTTTTGCTTATTTTAATCCTTCTATTATATTATATTTAAACAAAAGAAAAAAATCATTTAATGTAATATTTTGTACACAAAATGTACTATTTTTCACACCAGATCATTTTAATTTTAGAATTACATTTTACATTTTGAAAATTGGCAGACAACAAATGTTATAATGAAGATAACAATAAGATATCAAATAGATATATTTCTCTTAATTTTATTAAATTTAAAACGTAAAATAAAAATTAAAATCTTTATTTATTTAACGTTTATGATTATATTGAGAATTGAAAATTAACTTTTGGAAATTTTTATACACATTCTGCATTAATTATCTACCACTCAGCCATCTGTCAAAGTATCAAAAACCTCTAAGCATGCACTCATAAATATCAAAAGTATCAGGACAATCCCATTTACATGTACCACGTTTCTGTAGAACCACGAAGAAAACACGGCATTAATCAACGGGTTAATCAACAAGGCCTTTCTGCAACACTCAATTTCCACCATAACACAACACCATGGTAATACGTATGTATTATGCTTGCTACGAAACGGTTGTTTTCCTAATATCCATCCTCATGGTAAATGAGAACAATGCACCACTCGCACAGTTTCAGACTATATTACGACAAAACCTTGCTCCGTACAAGATTTCCACTTTCCATCCCCATAAATAACATTCATCTCGCAATTAAGGCTCACCTATTCTAATTCGTGAGCTTTATCCCAAAGTCAGTATGATTACACGAGACACGTATATTATCCGGATCCATGTATCCCCTAATCCATGGGCTCAATCTCCACGTACAATTCCTTTTATATCCATTGCTGACTTCCATTTGTGTGGCAATTAATTTTTTCCACCGGTTACCTCGCCCACCAGCGAGAATTAAACCAGAAATCTCTTCCCGTAATTCTGGCCGAGGTCAGAAAAATCTATTCAACTTTAATACGAGAACTTCCGTCGTTAACGAAGATTTATCTATCTTTCGAGTTTACTTTCGTATCCCTCCTCATTTATTTGGGGGAGAATGTATATTCTGGAAGAAGTGTCCATTACGATTGATCGATTGTGTGTCGAACATAGAATTGGATATAGTTGATTAGACGAAGGATAATTGATAGGGGAATATTAAAAATTTGTTTCTTTCGGTTTTGTTTTATCTTTGTTGTATTATTATTTATTTTCCAAAAAGAAGAAGTATATATTTTGGGAAAAGTGTCCATTTGATTGATTAAGTGTCAAGCATGGTTGATTAGATGGAGGATAAGTAATAGAGATTAATATTTTTCTTTATAATTTTACTTTATAAACGAGTCGATAGTATTTTTATTATAAAAAGAAGTTATTATCTTAACATAATTTACTAATTTAAATTATAAGCTTAATAAATTTCATTTAAATTTGTAACAGATGAAACGAAAATGAGATAAAATTATCTCCGCTTCATCCATTCAAATTTCAATTGCTCATAACTTGATAAATGAACTTCGAGTGACATATTTATAAATCAAATTTCTTATATATTGATTTGATTGATTTCAGAATCAATCTTTCAAAGATCATTATTTACGTTCAATAAGAAAAAAATATTCGTATATCTAAATAAGAAACTACTCTTCATTCATTTTATCATCTATGTCCATAAAATTAGACGTGCAAATACTTCTTTTACCCACTCCATTCCCAAATAAAAGAAAAATCAATCTACGATAAGTATACATCTCTAAAATAATTTACGAATAATTGAAATAATAATAAAAAAAAGACTCACCAAGATGACTGCGTAGGTATCGACGGCAGCGCGCCCGGTGGCAATGATCTCCTAATCGCCTGGCAGCAAGATCTTCCGCTTGATGACGCCTCGTTGCAGCAAGATGGCGGGTTGGTGCACACGTGGCGCGTAACGACACCTGTGGACGTGGTCGGGAACTCGACCGCAGACGCGCGCACCTTGGGCCGCAACAATGGCGACATCGAGAACCCGCCATCCCTCTGATTAGACGCCGAGCTGCTCGAGCTGCTCGAACCTGGGCTACCGCCAAGACGGCCAGGCGACGCGTACGCGAAACCGCGAAGCCGGAAGTGCGACTGATGGTACGGATAGCCGGCAGGTGGCGGTAGCCGATAATGATGATGGAAACCGAGATCTCGTCTCATGTAAGGGTCAGTTGGATCGTTGGTGGGTACATAACGGTCGGTGGGCGTGTGCGCGGATGGTGGCACGTATCTGTCCACGTATCTGTCCGGATAAAGGACCTCCGGGGGCGGTTGAGGCACGTATCGTTCCACAGGTGTGTGAGCCGTTGGCGGAACGTAGCTCGTCGCTGTGCTCGATCCGTAAGTTCGATCGGTGGACGTGGCGGCTACCGACGTGCCGCAAGACGAGATCGGCGTTATGCGACCAGTGTACCGATCCTTGGGCTTGGGAAGGGACAGATACTTGTCAGCGGCGCGCACAGGCGAGTATCTATCGGTGGCAGAGTGAAAGCGATCAGGAGTGGCGGACGAAGGTGCGAAACGATCCGTGCTCGCGGCAGAGTTCGAGAATCTGTCGTAACGGTCCTGGCCGAGCCTGGTATCGAACTGGTCGCCAGGATTGCCGTAACGATCGCTTCCAGCGTAACTCTGCACGGACTTCGACACCTGAAGATACTTGTCCACGACGCTCGCTTTCGTCGCGGCCTGATAACCGGAACTTGATGTACAACTAGTCGTCCCGGTTGTTCCCGGGCGGAGGCTCGTATTGACCGTCTCGGGAGTGGGAGAGATGGATGTGAAACGATCGTTGGACGTGGTGGATTGCGTTGCCGTGGTGTTCGTGTAGGAGGAGTGATAACGAGCGACGGTGTCGGTTGAGGAGGAGGACGAGGAGGACGTCGCGGAGAGTAGTCGTTCCGTCGACGATCCCGAAACGACGTACCTGTTGGCCACGTCGTTGTTGGCCAGCCTGCCGTCGTGTCCTGGTGACGAGCTAACCAGGTAACGATCGTTGGACACGCAGAATCTGTCGTTGGCCCGCGATTGGCCGCAACGTTGTATCGCGAGATCGTTGAAACGATCACCTGTGCTGTATCTGGACTGTGCGCCCCCCACAGCTTCCTGGAAGCTGGAATATCTGTTGAAATCCGTGGGCGCGGGGGATCCAGCCGATCTGTCCGTATACTTCTGGCAAACCGTCTCGACGCCACGATCGGTGTACAAACGTCTCTGCTCGTTGCCGTTCGACGACACCTGCAGAGACCTCTCCGTCGACGTGGCGTATCGCTGATGGGAGGCCTCCGGATTGGGCGAATTCGAGAGGAATCTCTCGGCGCTCGACGATATCGTCGAGTAACGATCGTGGTGGATACCTGACGTCGTCTCCTGTCGATGGTATCGTTCGTGTACAGGCGAATCGCCGAGGTACCGGTCGCTCGATTTGCCCGCGAATCTCTCTGGCACTGGGGCGTGTATAGGTGAGGAGGAGAGCAAACGGTCCGTAGAAATGGCACCGTATCTCGATGTATCCTTGCCGGTTGTGTATATTCCGTTCCTGTCCCCTTGTAGACCGGCTTGTAGACTTCCCAGCACCGGTGACGAGCCGGACAACAGGCGATCGCTTGTTCCAGTGTATCGTTGCTGATCCTTGGACTCGTGCATAGAACTCGACGACTGTTGATTGGCCAATAATCGTTCCGCCGAGGAGAATCGCTCCTTAGCTGGCATCGGTGAGGCTGGTGCCGTGCCCCCGCCATATCTGGTGCTTGGAGAACCTGGGGCCAGAATCCTATCAGCAGCAGGATAACCAGCCAGACTCTGGGTCGAGGCGTACTTCTCGCTCGGGCTGGGTGACAAAGGTGGTGGTGGGACGAAACGGTCGTTGGCGGGTGCCGGTGATGGCGGAGAGGGGAACGTCTCGGACGAGAATGGACTGGTCGCGCATCCCGACACCAAAATATTCGTGTTCGCGTATTCGTTGCCTGTCGAGGCGTTGACCAGCTCGTTGGCCAGGTGATGGAATCGAAGCTCGGTGGTGGTGGCCGGCTGGAAACGTTCGCTCGGGGCCAAGGACAACCTCTGGTCACCGTGGAGGCTCGCGAGCTCGTTGAAACGTGGAAAACGGTCGACAAGAACGTTTTGGGGCAACGTTTGGCCAGAGTTGCTCGTTCTCCCTGGGGTGAACTGGTGGTGCGCTTGCAAGGGGGCTGGCCGAATCTCTCTTGGCTCTGGTAATGGCCGAACCGCTCGCAACTCGACTGTATCGAACGAGTTTCCGCGCACGACTTGGGGAAGTCGTCGATCGTCGGCTTGTCCGTTGATTTATCGTGCCTCTCGATGCCTGACATTCGCTCTCGGACTCCATAATCGACGTGTTCGTTCCCTTGAGAAGATTGATCCGGTTGGTAACGATCTTGGCTGGCGACGCTCGACACGCTCGTGCGTAGATCGCTCGTTTGCTGTTGTTGCGCTTGCTTGTAACAATCTGAGGAGCTAGTGGAACCGATCTGGGACCCGACACTTCCGCTCGTTCCGCCACTCGATCCTGGAACCGGTGATGACGAGGACCCGTACTGAGGGATCGGATGTTGGTGCAGTAGGAGACGTTCTCTTCGGCCATAGTCGTCGTCTGTCGGCATCCTGGTGGCCCGGGGCCCGCTGTCAGGACATCTGAAATTTTATGATTCGCTGTTAGTGATGAAGTTAACGATGATTTGAGAATATTATTGTATCGATAAATTTAAGAATTTAACGTGTACATCCGAATTTTATTTGTCTTGATTTAACAGATTTATTTTATCTTTACCCAAAGTATACATTTATTAAATATTTCGTTTCCATATTTCGTGATAAATATCGAATATTTTTTCACTTCCTATATAACTTGATTTCAATGTCGATTCAAAAAAAAAAATTAATTAAATTTTTAATGCAATACGATACTTAATTAATCCTCTAACAAATATGTTATCCCAAAGCAGAGCGAAGTTATCGAAATTACTGCACCTTTTGTTCGCGTTTAAACCCGTATCCTCCTTTAATGTCTCGATGGTAAAACATAATGCATAATAGAAATATAGCCGGGAGGCAGGTACGAATTGCTTGTTACGTGACGTTAAAACGCGGCCCGTATAATCGATTGCAAATTAATTGGGGCCATGCTCGCTCGCGTTTCGCTCGTTGGACCAAACGTGTACGAACGAGTGACGCGTGCGGTCGTTCGTAACCGCTTGCAAGCCTGCAACGAATTGCCAGGAAATACAACGATTTCATCGATCACTGCTTAAATCCTCCTCCCCAAAGAGTATTGAAGTACCTGGCTTCTGAACCCATCGAACTTTTACTACGCGTTGCGCGAATTGGAATGAAAAGAGGATTCTTTTTCTTTTTTTTTTTAATTGTTTTATTGATCAATTAAATTAGCTGAATTGTTTGAAAAAGTTTGAAAAATTATTTAGAAGAAAATTTGAAATAATTTGAAAAGAATTGGAAAATTAAAATGAAAAGGCCAATAGTGGGCCAGAAATGCTATTTTTTGACTTTTTGCATTGCAGGAATATTACTTTTTTTTTTTTAAATATAATATATTATATATATTTAATAATGTATTGATTGTTATTGGAGGAAAAGTGTTCTGATGAGAAAATTTTAAGATATTGGATGATTGCTTTTTAAATATTTGAAAATATTATTTCATTCAATATTGGTAAAATGATATTTTAAAGATTATTTTTCAAATTGTGTACAAAACGTGTTACAAATATTTATTTGGTTTTGTATATATATATTTCAATTATGTATGTGTAATGAAATTTTAAGACGTTCTTTACTTCTTGAAATAAAATTCAGATAATGAATACTTTATGGAAATTGTTATTTTTATTAAATAATCATTTTTTCTTAAAAAATTCTTTCTTGTTATCGATAATAAATTCTTTAAAATAATATGTCAATATGAGTTTGCTTAGAAATCTGTTTCTTTATTAAGAAAAATTTCAATAAAATCGAAAAAAAAATAATTAGATATATTCTATGTGACATATCTATTGAATATATAATAATATATACATAATTTTCTTTAAGATATCGTCGTTATTACTTTTAAAATTGTATAGAAATAGATATTTGTATTTAAAATAAAATATAATTATTATATAGTAATTATTGAATAATAATTATTGAGTAATAAAACATCAATGTCATTCCTATATAATTATTAATTATATCATTAATTAATAAATGTGATATAATTAATTGTATGCACGTTATCGATATCTCGATGATATTCAACATTCCAGCTAAATTCCAGTATTTATATTTATTTTTCACTGGCATAACAAATATATCATTTTCTTGTTAAAAAAACGATACGTTTTTATGTAGGATTTTTCTATATAATTTTTGAATTTAATGTCCAACTAGTATTTTTCCGAATTTATCACGTCGGTGCTTGACAAAAGCTGATAATAAATAATCCTTTTCCAATCTCGTCAAATATAAAACAGAATATATCGACTGTCAAAAATGTTGCCAAGTTTCAAAACAATCCAATAAAAGTCAACCGTTATAAGCTCGTTAAATATATTCGAAATATGTTTCAAACGTAATGCAATTAAAAAATATGAATATTTTAAAAAATAATATATATATATATTTTTATCATATTTATCACGTGTACTATAAATAATGTAAATAAAAATTATTATATTTCAAATAAATTAATTGATTTGATATAATTTTTCTGTCTTTTTATTTCCTCATTTTTAAATTTCAAACATTATTACTAATTATATAATAATAATAAATTACTATGATCACGTTACAATATTAAAAATAAATAAATAAAATTAATTTAGAAGAAATATAAAAATTAAATCAATATTAACTTAATTAAATTATTATTAATATAAAATTAATAAAATAATTGAATACCTAATACAACAAAGTACTGTACTACATTTATACGTATATAAGTAGAAAGTGTCAATGTATAATCAGACTCTACTATTCCTGAAGCACACGTTTATTCGAATTAAATGCTCGTTTATTTCCGAATTAAACCAATTTCCGCTGATCCAATAAACAGATTTAATAAAACAATAACGAAATTAACATAATACATCTTGATATTATCCATAAGAATAAATAAGAAAACAGATTAGCCGGATGATGTTCAATTTTCTCGGTGTCATAATTATTCCAAGTTGTCTTCTTTATAGCGTACTATTCATCAATCTTAATTACTCTTCTATTTAACCAAGCACTCTTTCGAAACGGGGTTTAATTAAAAGATGATTACACTTGGTAATTATAAACTGATCGATGTCCCTTATCTCTAGTTGTTTCTCGCGAAACGATTCCCCTTTATACACAATTCCAACAACCGACTCGTTAATTCGAAGATATTTGAACGGAATAGGAATTGCAGATAGAAATCTTAGTACATTAGAAAAGAGGATACAAAGCTGCAATCACACGCGAGTAGAATGAACCGTATAATTGATCAGCCGGAGAGAGATGATGGCTTGATTGAAATATCGATCATCGCTCAATTTCTGTTATTCGCAAACGTTTCGTTTAATCAAACGAAACAAATTGTTTTTTTTTTTTTTTTAAACGTGTCTTTTATATATCTATCGTTATTTTCTCTACAAAGTGGCAAACGTTGCATTGTTATGACAAATAATGTTTTGCAGGCATTCATGGCAGTTGTTTTTCTTGTCTTTATTTATTTTGATGGTAAGATTGAAAAATTTGAGAAAAAATTACTTTCTCTTTTATTCTTTATTCTAAATGATTATTTGAAATATATATATATATATATGTATATATAATAAATTTGTAATTGAATAAAATACAAGAATCTATAAATGAAAATACCACAAAAATGTTAGAATAAAGTTTGATCAGAAATAATTATATTTAATTAATATAAAATTTTTTGTACATAATAGATATATTATATTCACAAAAATTTCTTGGATTCAAGAATTAATGTATTTGAGTACAAATCTTTAGCAATTTTTATTTTAGAATTCACATTTAAAGATGAATAAATTTTTAGAATATTGCATCAAAGTAATAATCTTTAAAAATACTTATCTTTTCTAATATGATAAAAAATATGATAAAACATATTATTATTCAGATATTAAACCGGATACATAATTATAGAATTATTCTGAATATCAATTCAAAAACTTTTTTACAGACGAATCGCATCCTAAATTGATTTATGAGATTACAACAATTAAAGCACTTTCTTTCAGCCAACGAGTAATAAAAAATCAAATAGATATAAAAACTAGATTTCTTCCATTAATTTACGTTTATTATTAACAAATCATATATTAATCAGGAATTATTAAAGATCCTTCGAATAATGAGAAAAATGTGCACAGAAGGTGCAGGTACCATTTATCGTGGCGCGATATCGCTAATATACGAAATAGAGACGCAGTGCGTCTATCAGCGGTTGGAAAGTGGAAAAACTTTCGCAGAACGTGAAAATGGCACGCGTTGCCGGTGTCGTGAAGATAAAACGCAGCTGGTGTTCCACAAAAGAGCGAACAATTCACGAACCATGTGTATCATTTTTTTTATTGTTTTTTACATTTTCCACAAATCGTCTAATATCCAGAAATTGAACCAATTCTGGATCTTTTTATAATTTTCTCTTTGAAACGAAAAATTAAAAAATCGGAAATTTGAGAAAATATTATCGCAAAATACAATTAATGGCCACGAGAGAGAAACGTGAGAAATCGTATTTTCCATGTTTAAAACTTTAAAATTCAATATCGTTAATTAATCCTTTTTTTTCTATTTTAATCCTCGTGTTAAATATACGTACCAAATGCCAAACAAAGGTATTAGCATACTCCAGTTTACCTAGTAATATTTTTTGTAAATGTATAGAAGAGATTTTCTTTGTAATTTTTTATTAAAATATCACATTATTATATTTTTAGAGTTTGAATTTTAAAATGTTAAATTAAATGTTATGATTTTATTTTATTTATATTTTTTTTTTGCTAAAAACGACTTTTTGTTACTTAATTATTTATTATTTAATAGAAGTCTTTGTATAATTTCTTAATAGTTAAATAAATTATGATATAATTATACTTTAGATTCTAAAATTATATTATTTTTACATAAGAAATTAAATTTAAGAAAAATGCTATTGAAAAATCTAAAATATGGTAATATTTTGTTATGTATATAATTTTTCAATTTTATAAATATTGATTATTACAATATTAATTACACCAAATTTTTTTTCTATAAAATATACAATGTTTTCATAATGCTTTTAAAAGACTATTTAGATGGAGAATGCTTATGTAAATTGATATTTTCATGAATTCAAAAAGAATTAGTTTATTCTTTAAATATTATAATGAATATTTTACTTTAAGTAATCTTAATATCTTTGCATATTATATATATTTTTGCACATTCAAATTTTTTAATAAATGCATGAATATTTGCACTCTATTTATTATTCATATACTTTAAAACTCTTATAAAAATTTTCCTCATTTTATTCAAGTTTGTCATATTAAAGTACTTTATTTTATCCATCATAATTAAAACTAACAAATATTTTTCAATCACAAAAATTATAAAAATTTAA